AAAAAAGGTTTCCGCAAAAATGGACTGCCGTCATGCATCGGGACGGAAAAAGGCATCAAGGGGAGAGGGTCATGGCGGTGGAGGACAAAACTTCGGCCGTCAGGTGTTTGGGGGATAGGTGGCGGGTTCGAAGCCTTCAGGCCTCATCATCGGCCTCACAAAGTGGCCGAACCCTCAGGTCTTTGCTGCGGAAGTGGTTGGTTCGAGGCCTTCAAGCCTCGGCGTCGGACTCACAGAGTCCGCGCGAAAGTTTCCGGGAGGGTAAAGCGGCGGGAGGACTCGCCAGCATCTGAATTCGAAATTGCGCGGGCAGCGCCCCCGCACTACGGGAAAGCTCGGGGAAACGTGTCGCTCCCTCGTAACCCAGGACCAGCCGTCGTCATGAACACGAGTCCCCCTGGCGACACCAGCGACAATCAAACTACAGTCGCCACGCGGCGTGAGCGGCCGACCGGGGCAACACCGTTAAACCCGTATAAGGCAATATTAGAGTCGGGGAATCAAAGCGATCAATCAACACAAACCCGTTCCCCCTTATCTCACAAGCCCGAGGCGGGTCTTGCCAACACTYTTGCTCCGTTCGCCTCAGCGCGCGCTGTACGTCCGCATCGCAGTAGACGCTGTCGTCATCTGTGATGGGGAAGGTCGGTAGCGAAATGAGACGATCGGAGGTACGTTACGAACACGGGCAAGATCCCGCGTTCCCGGTCATCCGAACCAACACCGAATCCATACAACAATCGTCGCAACGCTTCTCTCTCAAAAGTGGGTGCGTAGGGGGGGGGGATGACGAAATCTAAGCTTTCTCCCCTTGGCGGGGGCGTCGACCGTCCGCGCGGACGCGGGCGGTTGACGTCACCGGTATGGGGACGAGAGGCTCTAAAGGCGATGGCTCTCAGTTCAAAAGGAAGGCGATCGAAAAAGGAGAGAGAGAGAGAGAGAGAGAGAGAGAGAGAGAGAGAGAGAGAGAGAGAGAGAGAGAGAGAGAGAGAGAGAGAGAGAGAGAGAGAGTTACACCAAGGCCGCGCAAGAGTGCAGGAAAGGCCGCGGAGGGGAGGGGAACAACCGGATCAACACACTCATACTCTTAAGCAGACAGTCCCCCAGTTCAGTTTCCCCATCCCCGCCCAGACGAGTACATACACACATACATGCATGCAATCAACAACCCTTGACAGGACATCTAATCATCCATGGACCTTCGACGTCACTCATGCGCATAACCAGCTCCCATCACTCGGGGCTTCACACACATGACATGCATCGACAAAGTAGCAATGGAGATAAAAAGCGAGTCCTTCTTGTACACGAAAATTTCAATTAACTGCTGCCCGCAGGCGCAACCTTCAAAACTTCCCAAGACCACCGACCACCATAGCCACAAGGCCCTGCTGCGGCCGGCGTCCAATCCCCACCACTGCTCACTCCCTCCGACTGCTTCGCCCCGAGACTACCGCGGGGTCCACCCCACGTCGTCACTCCGCCCGTCCTTGGGCTCGTCGAGCCTGTTCGGCGCCGCGGACTCTCGCACATAGCTCGCGCAACATTGCAGCCGAGATCAAAGAGGAGGAGAGGAGAGGGTTGCGCAAATTTATAGCGCGGGAGGTGGCGGGTTAACAGCGCGAGGTGCGGGCAGCGCAGGGTGTAGATGAGCAGGACAGGAGAGAGAGGTGGGGAGTTAGAGGGTTCGACCCGCGGGATTGTATGGTTACATGATTGGGGTGTTCGTCCAAGTGGTGCGCGGTTTCCCGCTTTCCACATTGATCCGAGCATCCCAACTACGCAGCCAATCACTTCGCGGAGGAAGACGGGRTAAGGATCAAGCTGGGCGTAGGGGACGACGAAGAGTCTTGCATGTGGAAAACGCGCGCAGCAAGAAGGGAAGATGGCGCGAGGATGCAAAGCAAGAAACGGGGATGCGAGACGCGCGAAAAAAAATCGGAGCTTGGGCGCGCGCGCAAAAATTCAAAAAGTCCCAACCGCACCCGTTTCTTGGTTTTCATACCGCGGCCGCTATTCGAAAAGGGGAGATCGGAAAAGAAGAAGAAAAAGAAGAGAAGGAGAAGGAGATGACAGGGGAGAGGTAGACGAGGGTTATCAGAAGAAGTGATCTATGTCGGGATTGAGAGGGGGCGGAATAGGTGGAAGAAAAGCGGCCATTGCCGCAGGAGTCGTCGGCGCATCTCCCTCATGGAAGTGATGCTGGGCGACTGAGGGGTGAAGGAAAGCCCCCGGCACATGTAAGAGGACACGGGGCGCCAGATCCGCTACCGCTCGCACCACCCGCTTGCGCACCGATCGGGGCCCTGGACCCGTCATCACCACATGAGTCTCGGTGTAAGGCCGCCGCTCCCGCTTCTGCGCCGCGACGACCAGGAAGTGGTACATCGCATTTGGACGCTGCCCGGTCTCGTAGATGAGCGTCCCAGCCAATCGCGCTGCAATACACCCTTGGAAAGGGGGTGTTAGATATGGCTCCGACGCCAGATCAGGGCGCGGCGCCCCCGCGATGGCCTCGAGCCTAATGGTGGCGGGCTCCACCATGAAGTCCACCTCGGTCGGATGGACCGTTCGGCTCGGATGAACTACTAATGTCAATGACCGGGGCACCCCAGGGTGGCTGGCAGGAACGGAAAGGTCCCGCGAGGACGGGGGGTCTGGATATGGGATTCGGAAATCCCATTCGGCTTCCTCCTCCGGCTGCTGCTGCTGCTGATGGCCCGGCTCCATCAAGATTGAGATCGGGCACACGCGGAATGGGCGGCGATGGCACGATAGTCTCCTTAACGAGCGTCGCCGCACTCCCAGGCACAGGGTCTGGAATCCACGTACGCGCGGGCTGAATCACCTCCTCGCCGCCGCCGATCCTGCTGCCTTGCGCTCCTGGCGACGGGTGGTGTCTCTTCCTCTTCGGCGTCTTCTTGGGGGCCTTCGGTGGCGCTGGTCGAGGATACGACAAGGGAGGACGCAACGGCCTTTCCTCCGGGAAGTCCTCCAATCTCTCCACGCGTTGCGCAATGTAATCCGGGATGACGACCGCGTTGTACGTTCTCCGCGGGGCCGTCGCCGTCCGCAATCGTGGTTGGATCTCCTCCTCCTCGCTCGCGATCACTTGCGCAATGGAGAGGAGCTCAAGATGTAGGAGCTGCAACAATCCCGGATCGATTGTCTGGAGCTGGGCGAAGGGGTACAGCGCCACCGTCCCTTCCTTCTCCGCTGGCTTGGGCCGCGCGATGACGTAGTAAACAACGAAGTGCTCCCCGATAGCATGGTCTTCGTAATCCACGAAGAACCGGAACATCCCCAGCGCCACCGACTTGTACAGCACACGGTGCAACTCCCACGCGTCTTCGTCGGCGAAGGGCAGCGGCTCCACGTCATTTAGTTCCACCAAATACTCCGAGAACTCGCGCATGGGGTAAGGGCCCTCCGTGAGCTGGTAGGGGAGGGTGGTGTAGGAGAAGAAAGGAGGCATTTAGTACGGGACAGGGGGAATAGCTTGGAAGTTGAGAGGAGCAGCGGGAGGGAGAAGCGCGGGGAGCTGCGGCACCAATGCAATCGGTCCGTCCTCTGCCCTACGCAGCAGCACTTCGTGGGCTGTGAATCGGTGTACCCCCCGACCTTGCAATCTGGCCACTGATTTGGCCGCTTCCACCGCGTATTCGTGCACAAAGCTGCACGTCGGCTCCCGATTCGGCTGCGGTAGGATCGTCAAGTATCCGATGAAGGTGGCGACGCTGTGCACGAAATTGGGTGCCACTTGGAGCGCGCGGAACTCAATGAATACTCGGGTCGTCTCCCGTCCAGGCAACTGTGTCACGTCCACGTACACCCCCGCATACGTCAGCCGATCGCAAAGCAGCGAGTACGCCGCCAAATCCGCAACCCCGGGCGCCGGCACGTTCACCTGCTGAATGTCGTACCGCAACTGCCTCTCCTCCTTGAACCGATGCCGCAATAGGCGATCTGCAAGCGGTGTCTGGAAATGCTTGAGGGGCTCATGCTCCGACTGGCGATGGTTCATCCTGCTCCCTGAAACTCTCAACACCCATGGACGAGGCAAATCTGGAAGAGGAGGAGGATGAGGATGAAGAAGGAGAGGGTGATCTCGCAAGAGCGGGGGTCCGCAGGGGACCTAGCGATGGCTGGAAAGGCCGGAGCGCGGCCGCGTGCCGTGTCAGCGGTCGGGCCTGGGAGTTGTGACCGGGAATCAGCTTCACGGAGTGCTGTCCCTGTGCGCCAACTTCCGTGACCTCGTAAATGCCTGTGTAGCGTGGGTAGATCTTGGAGGAGCGCACAGATTTCCGTACCTGCACCAAGTCCCCAACTTTATAGCGGGGAAGTGGTCCCACCGACGCGTGTCGATTCTCATAGTCACGGATCTATCGTTGATGTGTTCGATCTACGGCCTGTTGTCGTCGTCGAGCTAACGGGGGATAGGCCCTAGCCATTAAGTCCATGTAGTGGCGGGCCTTGTCTCGATTCTGGGCCCGTGTTGCTGTAACTCCTGTTCCTACTAAGGGGGACAATTGCACCCGAGGGACACTATTGGTTCTCAGTTGAAAGGGGGACACCCCAGTACTACTGTGTGGGGTGGCCCGATAAATGGCCAAAATGTGGTCGACAATGACCGACCAGGGTCGGGTGTCTCCCGCAGTGATATTCCGTCTAAGGGCCGTCTTAATCAGTCGGTTGGCATTCTCTACCAGGCCGTTGGCTTGAGGCCAATGCCCCGGCGAGTAGATAATCTTAACGTCCTCCCTAACTAGGTGACGTTATACTTCGCCTTGAAATTCCGACCCATTGTCCATGTGTACCTCTTCTACGTCTAGATGCATGCACAAAAATCGATTTACGTACCAGGCTACTTCCTGCGAATTCCGGCTGGTCATAGGATACGCCTCGATCCATTTTGAAAAATGATCGACGACCACTAAAAGAACATTGAGTTCTCCCTGATCGACGGGCCCTCTCGGAATGTTGATATCCGTCGTATCGATGCTAACCCTCTGAAAGGGGCGCTCTACACGAGTGGGCACCATCGTCCGAGGCATCTGTACCGGCGCCTTGTCCGCCGCGCAGGCCGGACAATTCTGAACGATGTATTTCACATCTTCCCGAATTCCCGACCAGTACCATCCATTCTTTTCGATGACTTTTTCCGTGTACTTGACTGCGAAATGGACCGCATCCTCCTCATGAGCGGCTTGTGTCCAATCGAACCTAGCAAGAGGGTGTGGAACCGTCAACCAGCTAGACTCTCCGTCGTCATCGACCTTCCATTTTTGTAACGTCGGGCCCTGCCAGCGATAGTCCTGCGCCCGCTCCATGACTCTCCGCCGTTCGGCTTTGGTAACTTCTGAAAACGAGTCGCCTGACAGTCTCCGTAGCAACAGAAGGTCCGTCCAGGCTTCTGCCCGGCGGGCACTTGGCGCAAATCCGTCGGCTGTTCTAGCGTCCAGATACCGCTTCTCGGTAGGGACTTGGTCCATTCTACAGTTGGGACAGACCCACGTCTTTTCACTTTGGTACCTAACGCATTGTCCATGAGATTTGACCGTATGACACTGACTACACTGTACCCATAAAAGAAAACTGGGTCCTCCCGGCTGTGACCCTTCTTGGTCTGGGATCATAGGCAAGGTACAGAAGAAACAAGGACTACGGTGTGTTTCAGAGGATGAGTTGGGGCTAGACGAGAGAGCGATGGAGTGGGACGAGGGCAGAGAGATAGCGTCGTCCATCTCCGATGAAACCTCCATTCCGGACTCAGGCGTCGTCCTTACTTAGCATGTGTAACTCCCCGTCGTGCGGTTTCGTCACCGCGACTTCTGGCCTCCACGGAATGAGTCGCTCGTTGGCGGGACACTTGTTGGGCGGCAGAAGGCGCGTTAATCCATCGGCGTTACCATGCTGCCGTGTGGCACGGTGGCGGATGTCGAAGTCATAGTCTTGCAGACGCACCGCCCACCTGCCCAGCATCCCCGTGTAGTCCGTGTTGTTGCGTAGGGACAGCAGCGGCTGATGATCCGTAACCAGCACGAATTTCTGGCCGTACAGATATGGTCGGAAATGTTGAATCCCCCACACCACCGCCAGGCATTCACCTTTGCACGCTTCGTAATTAGCCTGCGCCTGGCTCAGCGTCTTGGACGCATACTCAATGATGTGCTCCCTTCTGTCCTTGTCGTGCTGAGTCAGCACCGCCGATATCACCTGAGGCTGCCAGAATGTGTACAGTGCGAATGGTCTTGTCGGGTCGGGGCGCGCCAACACAGGAGCAAATGTCAGAGCCTCCTTCAACGCCTCAAACGCCACTTCGCATTCCGGCGTCCAGATCAGCTGTTCCTCTTTCTTCAGCAGGTTCGTGAGGGGCTTCGCTATGCCGGCGAACCCCTTGATGAAGCGTCGGTAATAGGATGTCAGCCCTAGAAAAGCCCGAACCTGGGTGAGTGTGACCGGCGCCGGGGCGTCTTGAACTGCTGTCACCTTCCTCGGATCCGGTTTTAGTCCGTCGACCGTGACGATATACCCCAAGAATGAGATCTCTGACAAGAAGAACTCACTTTTCTTAAAGGCCACTTTGAACCCCGCATCTTTCATTGCATGCAAAACCCACTCAATGTGTTCCACGTGGTACTCGTGTGTTTTTGAAAAGACCAAAATATCATCCATGTACACAATCACGCAGAAATTGATCAGGGGCTGGGTCAGTCGGGTTTTGTTAACGAACTCAGCGAAGGTCATATTCATGGTCCGCTGAAACGTTGCAGGGGCGTTACAAATTCCCATGGGACACCGGACCCATTGCCACGTGCCCTCAAACAGGACAAAGGCGGTTTTGGGTCGGTCCTCCGGTCGAACTGCGACGTGGTGAAAACCGTGTCGGATATCGAACTTGGAAAAGACTCAAGCGGCCCCGATAGCATCTAACAAATCATCGATTCGCGACAAGGGATACACATCTTTGGTAGTGATGGCGTTCAATTTCCAGTAGTTGATACATACCCGAACCGAGCCATTTCGTTTTGGCATAAGGACCACGGGAAAAGACCATGGTCCCAGCGATGGTTCGACCCACCCCAACTGCTCGAATTCCCGTACCCTTTCCAACGCCAGCTGCCTTTCTTTAAGGGAATATCGGTACGGTCGACAATGTATCGGGGCGTGATCCCCGGTGTCAATCGTGTGTTGTATCAAAGGGGTTAGCCCTATGTCATGGTCCTGAATACAGACGGACTCCGGATAGGCCCGTATAACCGCCAAGAGGAGGCGTTTGTATTCGTCCTAAACACGGGCTGGTAACTGAACTTCTACAGTTCCCCCAGGAAAGGAGACCGTCATTGTAACCGTGGGGACCGCCGTGTTGGCATCGGGCGAGGCCCCAAACAAAGAGTTGTCGGTTTTCGCCGAAAGAACCGTCGCAATAAGTTGGTTGTCCGCCGGACTCATCGGCTCGCTTTCCATGTCACTGTCACTGTCCAGTTCGGGTTCGGCCAAGGGTTCGACCGAAAAGGCCTGCGCCAGTTCCCTCGGTCCCCACCGATACTCCCTCGTTCGGGGTTGAAACGACACCCCCTCTTTCAGGAGTATCGCGGCTTTTTCATTCGTGAGTAGGGGCCGTGGAGGTCGAAAAGATAAATTGCACAGCCCCCTCAGCTCGGTAAATCTTTCAGGTAGGGGGTCCGTCCTGAGATACAAGGACGCAGGGGGGTCCGAAAGGTTAGCTATTCGGAACACCCTCAGCCGGGGTTCCCCCTGCACCACGGAGGAGAACGCGTGCGACCAATTGGACTCGCTCCAAACTATTTCTAGTGGTTTTAGCCGCCAAGAATGGCGCCACCGATCCTGAACTCGGATCGGATATCGGTCGGGTACATCAATCTTGTCAGTTTCCGTCGAGGGCTCATTTTCGTTTCGTGACAGGCGTCGGATCATGTTGATTTGATGGGCTTTCGTGGTGAGGCGAGGCGCCGGCTGGGTGCGCATGCGCACCGCCAGTCTCATTGGTATCGTTTGGGGTTTGGGGTGGGCCGATGTGAGCACCACCTTACAACTGTCAAAGTGCATTCG